TGGGGCTCTTTGGGGGGGGGATTGGGGGACCTCATCATCTGACTCTCGTGCAAAAAGTGGGTTGTTTAAAAATATTATTGGGATAGTAAGGTTTGGAATCGTAGCACCTGTTCCCAATTAAAAAGGGGCGGGAAATTTTGGGAATTCTGAGACAGGGGGTTTTTAACTTTTTGTGGGGTTTAAGGTGCATTGGCTGAGGAGAGGGTTGTAATGTTACCTGTGGGGGGCCCAGGTGGGTTGGGGTTGATGGGTTGAGGAGGAGGATTAAATGTGGTTTCTTAAATGGGGGGGTTTTGCGCGAAAGGGTGGGGTGGAGGGGGGAGCCGGGGGGAAAGTACATGAAAGGGTTGGGGAAATTGGGATGGGGTGTGGAGTTGAGGAAAAAGGGGAAAACTATTTTTTAGAGCCCTTTTTTTGTTGGGTTTGAGAACCCAGAAAATTCGAGTAGGGGTTTTTGTTAAACTGCTTGGGAGCCCGGTTGTTTTACCCCGTTGAGGGATTGTTTTCCCCCTGTACGCCAAAAGGACGATATTTGGTATAGGTTTAGCAGGGTTTTAAGTTAAACCCAGGGGGAAGGGAAAGGGGAAAAAGGGAAAAAATTTTTTTCATGGCCCTACCAAACCCTCGGGGGGGGGTTTTTAAGAACCAGGGGGAAAATTTTGGGCGGGAAAAGGGTGGAATCTGTGGGGAGGATTAGACGCGTTCCATGCTGTATACTTTTGTGGGGAACCTGGGGGTTGTTAGGTATTGGGTTTTAAATAAAGGGGAGTACAGGGGGGGGGGGGGCAGAGGGGGTCGGTTCTGCCCGGGAAAATAAGGGCCCAGATGTGGGGGGGTTCGATGAGATTTTTATACGAGCTTTGGATTATAAAATAGTTGGGAAATATATAATTTTCGTGGGTGTGAGGGGGGGGGGGGAATTGGAGGGTGGGGGGGGAGGCGGGTACTAGGGGGAAAAGGTTTAACGAACGATGTTTTCCCCTAATAGAGAACTGTATGGGAGGGAGGGGGGAAGGGTTTTTCGGAAGGGTATAAATTTTTAAAGTTGGTTTTCTCATCAATCCCAAAGACTTTGGGCTGAGGGGGGGAAGGGGGGGGGGGTTTTGGGGAATTTACTCATACGGGAAGGGGTTTCGGAAGGGGCATACCCCGCGGGGTCCCTCCTGGGGAGGGGGTGGAGTTTAGGGGATGTGGTAAAAAGAAGGTGTAGTTTTAGTGGCAAACATGTATGTACAAAGGGAAGGGGGGACAGAAAAACCAAAAAATGGGTATCAAGTAATTAAAGTAGTACCTTTAATGGAAAATTCTGGGGTTTGATTTGGGCAGGGTCGTCAGACCTTCTTCATGAATTAATTTTGAATGGTGTCAAAATTATTTTTTAAGACCGGGGAAGAGGCCCTTTTGGGGTTTTTAGAGTTTTTCGTTAAAAGCCTTTAAATTTGGGCATAAATCAATGGGCGATAATTGTAACGCGATGAGAGGTTTTAAAAATTTTGTTTGTTTTTAGTGTTTTTGGGTTTTTTTAAACGAGTGTCCCGTCTTAATTTTTGCATTATATAATTGGGGGCTCTCCCTTGAGGGGAAAATGGAAAAATTGAATTTCCATAAATTTGGGAATTGGCCCGTTAAAAATTTGTAATGGGACAATATTGGGTTTTTTTCTTACTTTATATAATGTGCTCACCGGTGGAAAAGGGTTTTTAATTAAAAATTTAGTAATTTTTTTTTATATTTATTTTTGTATAAGTGTGAGGCTTAATTTGATTTTTTATTTTGGATTTGGGTTTTGATTTTGATTTTTATTTTGATTTTGATTTTTATTTATTTGTTTTGATTTGATTTGAAATTTTTTTTGATTTTGATTTTTTTCAAACTTTAAAAGAGATTTTTAGTGAGGGCCCCTTTTGTATTTGGGTTTGGTACTTTTTTTATTGTAAAGGGGGTTTAAAAATTTTTGGGAAAAAAGTATGTTTGTTTTTTAAATTTAGATTGGGATGTAAAGGGTTTTTAATTTTGTTTATTCCCGTGAAGGTTGTGAACCTTTGTCAATGTCCGCTAGTAAAGTTAACTATACAAATCTGAAAGTTGTTATAGTTTTTTATTTTAAAATAGTTTATATAGTTTTTAGTTTATTTTTTTTTCATATATGTTATATGGAAAAGTTTGTGTGTATATGAGTAACCCTTTTATGTCAATTTTCAATGTGTTGTTTTAAAAATTGGCTAGTGTTGTTGGTTTGGGTTGAGGAAACCTACTGATCCCCTTTTATACTTAATTTAATTTTCAAACGGGAAGTTTTTTAAAAAAAATATAAAAAAAAAAATTTTTTATGGCCTAAAATCAACCCAAAAATTTTTTATCGTTCCCCCTTTAAACTGGGGGGGTGGCAACAAGAGAGATGCCCCGGCCCCCGCCCGAAAAACTCCTGTTTTAGATCCATCGTGTATATAACTTGTGATAACTTTTTTACTAAAACCAAACTAGGTGAGAAATTTCTTCTTGAGGCCAAATTTTCTCAAAAAAGAGATTTAAAGGGAAAGGGGTTACTAGCAATGAGGGTTCTTGGGAGGAATTGTAGGGTTTTGTTTATATTAAAGAAACACATCTTCCCTGGAAAGGGGTTTAAATGCTTTGTTGCCCCACAGTGATAACATTTTATGGCAGGTTTTTAAAACTTTAATGCAATTGGGGACTTTTCACAAACCATTTTGATCTGTGTTTTAAAATTTTCCCCTAAAACCCCTTGGTAAGAAATTTACTTTTGACATGCTGGTTTTGTTTCTCAACATTCTAATAGGCCAAATACAGTGTTAAAATTTTAACAAACCTATCATGATACAAGGGAAAAACCCCAAACTTTCCCCCATGTAAAAACTTTTTTAAAATCTGGGGCAGGGCCCAAAAAATAATCCCGAAGCTTCATTTTGGGGATAACTCCCAAGGGGTTTTGGTAAATTTTTTTAAGGGTTTTTTTTGGTACAAAATTTTTTAATTATTTTCATTAAATAAATGAAAAAAAAGGGGATATTTTTTAAAAATTTAAAGGAAAAAAATTTTTGGGAAAAGGCTTAAGGATATATAATTTAAGCCAGTGGGGTGTAAAAGTAAAAATTTTTTCGTCCCTGTTATTCCCGTTTTCAGTTGGGAAGCCCAAAGTGCCCAAAAAAATTTTTACTAATTGAAAATTACCCTTGTTTCGGGGGAAATGGTTTCAAAGGGGCACGAAGTCGGGAATTCCCCGAACATTCTTTTGTTTTTTTCAGGGTCGTAGACTAGTTCAGGCTATGTAACTGCAGAAAGATACCTGGATACTGCAGAGACTTTTAGGGAAAATCTGTGATACACTGGGAGAGGACTCTGGGGGCACGGTTTGTGAAAGACTCAAAAAACTTTCAATCATGGGCTTCCCTTTTAAACCCCAAAAAAGCTTGTTTTAAAAACAATTTAGTGCTTGCCCGACTAACTTTTTATAAAAAATAACTCCCTTCGACAAAGGGAAACATAAGAAGCTCGTCTCCCCGTTGAGAGTTATGAGTTTGCGCTTGAACCTGTGTTCATTGTCGGGGTGAAAATTTCAGGGTTTTCCGTTCTTTGTTTCGCTTTTTATTCTGAAAAAGGTCCACCATTGACCCTGACACACTGCGATGTTTATGGAAAGGTTTCCCGTCAACGTGGGGCCCATCCCCCTGCTCATCCCTTTCCATCCCTTAGAGCATTGCACAACGAAACAAGGAAAAAAAGGGCTCCAGGGTACTACAAAAACTTTCCTGATATTCCTCTCCCTGGGGCCCCGTTTTCATATTTTTTTTCCCAAGGGGTACGGGGGGAGAAGGGTTTCCGGGAAATTTGGCCCGAGTTTGACGTTAGTGGGGCGCCTTTTTAATTATTATGGGGTTTCCCGCTGTTTTCCGGTATTCTTGATTCGGTTTTACTGGTCACAACGTAGAAACGATAGGTTGGGTCTTACTGTGTTTTTCGCTGACAAGAGTCTCGTTAACGTCCCAAAGTTCAATCGCCCAAAATGGTTTCTTTTTTGGGGGCTGGTGGTTAAGTTTATATCACTTTTGTCGTTTCCCCGCCTTCCATGCTTCCGACAGATGAAATTTTTTGGTTTTTTGCATATCTTTGACCTCTGAGGGGGTTTGGAAAAAGAGGAATTTTCGGGGTTTTTGATAGTGCCCAAAATTTTGTAAAATTCCCAGGGACCATCATTCCAGGGAGGTAGATGGAGTTCTCAAAAGCTGTTGAGGGGGAAAAAGGGAAAAATTTTTAAACTAAATATATATATATAATATATAATATATTATATTTTATTATAAAATAATATTTTATTTTATTATATATATATATTAATATATAATAATGATATATTTTTAAAATTTTAAATATAATATATATATATATAAATTATATATATATATATTATATATATTATATATATATTAAAATATAAATATATATATTAAATATATTTTATTTTATAAAAATTTTAGGAAAGGTAAAACCCCTAGAACTGTTGTAGGGGCCCTCATCCTCAGAGAAAAGAATAAACTTTCTTTAGGGAAAACTCAAGATTCTCCCTGAAGCCGTTTGAGAATTTTCTCCTACCACCCCCTATATTATATATATATATTTTTATTTAAAGACAAAATACATTGATATATATATATATATATATATATATATATATATATTTTATATATATATATAATATATATATATATATATACATATATATATAATGAGGTACCACCTCTGGAACTGGATTGGGGATCTTTATCCTCAGAGGAAAGAATAAACTTACTTCAGGGAAATCTATTGAAAATTATATGAATAAACAGAAGAACTGACAGGAACAGTTGGTGCTGCTGAGGCAACCGAGTCGCAGAACTACGGGCTATAAAGCCATCCGATTAGAACCCTCGTGGCTGAGAGGTTATAGCGTTGGGTCTGATACTCGCGTGGACGATGATTTGTTATTGACAGTTGTTTATTATGACTTATCTTGGTTTTGAGGGATGCGTGGAGGGAGGTAGTAAGAACATATTCTGCATGAAGGGAGGTAGTAAGAGCATGTTCTGCATGAAGGGAGGTAGTAAGAACATGTTCTGCATGAAGGGAGGTAGTAAGAACATGTTCTGCATGAAGGGAGGTAGTAAGAACATGTTCTGCATGGAGGGAGGTAGTAAGAACATGTTCTGCATGAAGGGAGGTGGTAAGAACTTGTTCCGCATACAGGGAGGTAAATAAAACTTACTCTGCTTGTAGACCTGTGGAGGTAGGTATGGAGAGATGCAAGGAAAGGCACCATAGTTGGCCATGATATCAAGTATGAGACTTTGCAGGTTGGTCACCAGTACTAACGTCTTCATCGAGAACGACTTTGCCTGTACGATAAATATATATTAGAGGTACATTCATTTTAATATTGTAAACGCAAATTATACCTCAAAAAATATGTCTCATAATATAATATTCAACTTATGAAAAAAGTTTTACGAATATTTTTTCTTTTCATATTGTGGTAAGAAAAAAATGATATCTTTGAACGCCATGTTTTCCGTGGGATACACAAAATTTCAAAGAGGTTTTGAGTTTGGTTTTATCCACGTTGGAAGGGCCCCTGACATACAAATTTGTTATTCAAATTCAATTCAAATTCAAAAGTTTATTCTCTATAAGGATTACAATGCTGAGTTTACAGAATTTGGTTATTGTGTGGTTTACATGTAGTAAAATAATAATTACAGAGTGTACCACTACAACACCTAGCATGGCTATGCATTTCGGGCAGACTTAGATTAGATCTTAAGTTTAAAATATTACAAGATTATGAGGTAAGTTAGTATTATGGCTAAGTGACTAAATACTAGTTTGTGAGTTTAGCAATTTGAATGCTTTGGTTTTGGCACAATACATAGTTTCAGTATTGGAGTATCACAGGCCAACTATTGACTAGTTAAGATTCATTATTTTAAGATTGAGATTGATATTTCTGTTTATGGTCAAATGGGTGAGTGAGTGTAAGTGTGGACCATCAGGTGGTATTCGTGTAATTAGTTGACAGGGTGCATCAGGGAGATAAGATGTTTTCTGGTGGTAGTTTCGAAGGTGATTAATGTGTCTGCAGTTGTAGAGTTTTCAGGTAGGGTGTTCCAGATTTTAGGGACTTTGACATATATTGAATTTTTGTAAAGGTTTAGTCGGACACGGGGAATGCCATAGAGATGTTTGTGTCTGGTGCTATGCCTGTGGGTTCTGTCACAACTTTCAAGAAAGCGTTTTAGGTCAAGGTTAATAATGGAATTAAGGTCCTGTAGATGTAGATTGCACAGTATAAGTGTGGATGCACTGAACAGGGAGAAAAGTTTAGCAGAATGTGTGAGGATCAAATTTCCCTATGATTTTCTCGTTTGTCATTATTAAATATCTTTGAGTGAAATTTTAATGCTAGACAGTAATTTCAGAAACAGAATTTTTCAATGCAGAATAAATCACTGTTGAATACTTTTTTTCGGGGTAAGATTTGATGCACAGTTGGGGAAACTCAATCACTATGTTTCCAGTTATTAAATTTGTACTGATATTATGTACACTTATGAAGCTGTCACAAATGCCAGATGGTTTTTGCAAAACTGAGTTTAATAAGTCTACATTTTGCTGTTTTCAAGTGTCCAGAACCATGCCTTTTTGCATTCTAAGGGGTGACAGAAGCAGGAACGTCTTGTTTTTAAATCTGTGTTAAATCATGGTGTGTATAATATATAATAATATTTTTTTTTTATTAATTCGCCGAACTTTTTAAAATATTTTGACAATTGTGGAAGACAGTCGGTTGAAATGTGGTTATAATGAACACTGATTAAATGATGAAAAAAAATTTTTATACCAGAGATAAATATACAGAGGTAGAGTGATGTAAATGCTTACAGGTAGTTGTAGCGTTCCAAGTGGCCCCTGGAGAAGGTAGTGAGGATCTGCAAGGCGTAGACTCGCCCATGAGGAAGATCAGGTTGAACAAGTTTAACCACAAATATACTCCACTTGGATTCACCTAGGGAAGGCCAGGTACGGTGAACCAGGAGGAAGACGAATAAAGGAAGATATGAAAGAACTAAGGGAAAAATAGGAGCAAACAAGGAAGGTAGAAAGCAAATAAGGAAGCCAAATGAAGGAAGATATGAAACAAAAAGGGAATATGGGATCCCAAATAAGGGAAGGTAGAAAGCAAAAAAGGGGAAGGTAGAAAGCAAATAAGGGAAGGTAAAGGCAATGGGGGAAGGCAGAAAGCAAATAAGGAAAAACAAATTAAGGAAGATATGAAACAAATAAGGGAAGATAGGAGGCAAATAAGGGAAGGTAGAAAGCAAATATGGGAAGATAAAAAGCAAATGGGGAATATAGAAGGCAAAAAAGGGGAAAAGTGAAAGTAAATGAGGAAATATAGGAAGCAAAAACGGGAAGGTAGTACATAAGAACATAAGAAAGAAGGAACACTGCAACAGGCCTACTGGCCCATGCAAGGCAAGTCCAATTCTCCCACCGGCTTAAGCCAATGCCTTGGCCCGGTGGCCTGGTGGCTAAAGCTCCCGTTCACACAAGGGAGGGCCCGGGTTCGATTCCCGGCGGTGGAAATTCCGACACGTTTCCTTACACCTGTTTGTCCTGTTCAACCTAGCAGCAAATAGGTACCTGGGTGTTAGTCGACTGGTGTGGGGTCGCATCCTGGGGGACAAATAAGGACCCCAATGGAAATAAGTTAGACAGTCCTCGATGACGCACTGACTTTCTTGGGTTACCTGGGTGGCTAACCCTCCCGGGGTTAAAAATCCGAAAAGAAATCTTATCTTATCTATCTTATCTTATCTTGGACCCAGTCAGATCAGTCACATTCACATAGCAGACATATGAGAGAAGACAGAGGCAAAAGACGGGAAGTGATTAAGATCCCAGGACTGAAACGATTTAAATAAATATGCTTAGTGTTTGCTCACGTGACTTTTAAAACAATGATACATTTTTTCCACCCATTTCAAGCCGGCAGCAGCAGCCGGAGGAAGTAGAGTGTAGGGAGAAAGCCTTCTGCTATATGTGTCCTTGCATCATAATCCTGACAGTACATTATAGTCTTTAATCTATATATTAGATAGTCTTTAACAGATTGCATTGATGTGAACTTTAAAGTCCACATTTACTCCAATATTCCTCTCTCTCTCCTCTCCGTCTCTCTCTCTCTCTCTCTTTTTCTATATATATATATATTATATAATATATATATATAATATATATATATATATAATATATAATATATATATATATATATATATAATATATATTATATTATAATTATATATATATAATATATATAAAATAATATATAATATATATATAATATATTATACATATATTTATTATTTATTTTTAAATTTTTTTTATTATCACACTGGCCGATTCCCACCAAGGCAGGGTGGCCCGAAAAAGAAAAACTTTCACCATCATTCACTCCATCACTGTCTTGCCAGAAGGGTGCTTTACACTACAGTTTTTAAACTGCAACATTAACACCCCTCCTTCAGAGTGCAGGCACTGTACTTCCCATCTCCAGGACTCAAGTCCGGCCTGCCGGTTTCCCGAAACCCTTCATAAATGTTACTTGCTCACACTCCAACAGCACGTCAAGTATTAAAAACCATTTGTCTCCATTCACTCCTATCAAACACGCTCACGCATACCTGCTGGAAGTCCAAGCCCCTCGCACACAAAACCTCCTTTACCCCCTCCCTCCAACCTTTCCTTCCACTACAGACTGATACACTCTTGAAGTCATTCTGTTCGCTCCTTCTCTCTACATGTCCGAACCCCCCTCAACAACCCTTCCTCAGCCCTCTGGACAACAGTTTTGGTAATCCCGCACTTCCTTCTAACTTCCAAACTACGAATTCTCTGCATTATATTCACACCACACATTGCCCTCAGACATGACATCTCCACTGCCTCCAGCCTTCTCCTCGCTGCAACATTCATCACCCATGCTTCACACCCATATAAGAGCTTTGGGTAAAACTATACTCTCATACATTCCCCTCTTTGCCTCCAAGGCAAAGTTCTTTGGTCTCCACAGACTCCTAAGTGCACCACTCACCCTTTTCCCCTCATCAATTTATATTCACCTCATCTTTCATAGACCCATCCGCTGACACGTCCACTCCCAAATATCTGAATACATTAAACCCCTCCATACTTTCTCCCTCCAATCTGATATCCAATCTTTCATCACCTAATATTTCGTTATCCTCTAACCTTACTCTTTCCTGTATTCACCTTTAATTTTCTTCTTTTGCACACCCCACCAAATTTATCCACCACTCTCTGCAACTTCTCTTCAGAATTCCCAAGAGCACAGTGTCATCAGCAAAGAGCGGTGACAACTCCCCCTTTGTGTGTGATTCTTTATCTTTTAAACTCCACGCCTCTTGCCAAGACCCTCGCATTTACTTCTCTTACAACCCCATCTATAAATATATTTAAAAAACCACGGTGACATCACACATCCTTGTCTAAGGGGCCACTTTTACTGGGAAATAATTTCCCTCTTTATTTCATACTCTAACTTGAGCCTCACTATCCTCGTAAAAACTCTTCACTGCTTTCAGTAACCTACCTCCTACACCATACACCTGCAACATCTGCCACATTGCCCCCCTATCCACCCTGTCATACGCCTTTTCCAAATCCTAAATGCCACAAAGACCTCTTTAGCCTTACTAAATACTGTTCACTTATATGTTTCACTGTAAACACTGGTCCACACACCCCCTACCTTTCCTAAAGCCTCCTTGTTCATCTGCTATCCTATTTTTCCATCTTACTCTTAATTCTTTCAATAATAACTCTACCATACACTTTACCAGGTATACTCAACAGACTTATCCCCCTATAATTTTTGCACTCTCTTTTATCCCCTTTGCCTTTATACAAAGGAACTATGCATGCTCTCTGCCAATCCCTAGGTACCTTACCCTCTTCCCAAACATTTATTAAAATAATTGCACCAACCACTCCAAAACTAATCCCCACCTGCTTTTAACATTCTATCTTTATCCCATCAATCCCGGCTGCCTTACCCCCTTTCATTTTTACCTACTGCCTCACGAGCTTTCCCCACACTCACACTGGCTCTTCCACACTCCTACAAGATGTTTTTTCCTCTTGCCCTATACACGAAATCACAGCTTCCCTATCTTCATCAACATTTAACAATTCCTCAAAATATTCCCTCCATCTTCCCAATACCTCTAACTTTCCATTTAATAACTCTCCTCTCCTATTTTTAACTGACAAATCCATTTGTTCTCTAGGCTTTTCCCCTTAACTTGTTAATCTCACTCCAAAACTTTTCTTATTTTCAACAAAATTTGGTTGATAACATCTCACCCACTCTCTCATTTGCTCTCTTTTTACAAATTTCTTCACCACTCTCTAACCTCTCTCTTTTTCTCCATATACTCTTCCCTCCTTGCATCACTTCACTTTGTAAAAACTTTTCATATGCTAACCTTTTTCTCCCTTACTACTCTCTTTACATCATCATTTTCCACCAATCGCTCCTCTTCCCTCCTGCACCCACTTTCCTGTAACCACAAACTTCTGCTGAACACTCTAACACTACATTTTTAAACCTACCCCATACCTCTTCGACCCCATTTCATATGCTCTCATTACCCATCTATCCTCCAATAGCTGTTTATATCTTACCCTAACTGCCCCCCTCTTTTAGTTTATAAACCTTCACCTCTCTCTTCCCTGATGCTTCTATTCTCCTTGTATCCCATCTACCTTTTACTCTCAGTGTAGCTACAACTAAAAAGTGATCTGATATATCTGTGGCCCCTCTATAAAAAAATGTACATCCTGAAGTCTACTCAACAGTCTTTTATCTACCAATACATAATCCAACAAACTACTGTCATTTCGCCCTTCATCATATCTTGTATACTTATTTATCCTCTTTTTTTTAAAATATGTATTACCAAAAACTAAACCCCTTTCTATACAAAGTTCAATCAAAGGGCTCCCATTAAACATTTACACCCGGCACCCCAAACTTACCTACCACACCCCTCTAAAAGTTTCTCCTACTTTACATTCAGGTCCCCTACCACAATTACTCTCTCACTTGGTTCAAAGGGTCCTATACATTCACTTAACATCTCCCAAAATCTCTCTCTCTCCTCTGCCATTCCTCTTTTTCTCCAGGTGCATACACGCTTAAAACCCACTTCTCGCATCCAAACCTTACTTTAATCCACATAAATTTTTGAATTTACACATTATATTCTCTTTTCTCCTTCCCTAACTGATCATTCAACATTACGCATCCCTTTTTGCTTAACTCTCTCAAAACCCAGATTTTAAACCCATTTTTTTCCCCCCACTGAAAACTCCCCTACCCCCTTCACATTTTTTCGCTTAGGGGCCCGGGGCATCCCAATTTTTTTCATTTATAACTCAGCAATCATCTGTTTCTTTTCATCTGACTACCTCCCCGCACATTAAGCATTCCCGTTTTATAAAGTTTTTTTTTTCTCTTTTTTAGTAAATGCCTACGGAAAGGGTTACTAGCCAATGTCTCCCTGCATTTTAGTCGCCTCATACGACACGCATGGCTTAACGGAGGAAAGATTCTTTTCCACTTCCATGGACAATAGAAGAAATAAAAAGAACAAGAGCTATTTAGATAAAAGGAAAAAACCTAGATGTATGTATATATATATATGCATGTCGTTGTGAAGTGTGACCAAAGTGTAAGTAGTGAGTATCAATTCCCTTTATTCTAGCGTGTTTATGAGACCAAAAAAGAAATAGTTATATATATATATAATATATAAATATAGTTATATATATTTATATATATAGTATATATAATAACATTATAATGTATAGTAATTATATATTATAATATATATATAATATATATATATATATATATATATATATATATATATATATATATATATATATATATATATATAATCTTGTTCAATCTTCTCTCGCTGCTTCGCTGGCCTTACATTTCCCAGGGTGATAATATCAGCAGAGATGAGGATAAGGATTGTGATGTAGTACGCAGCTTGGGAGAAGGGCAGCTGGTCCACCATCAGCATTACCAGCCGCAGGGAGAACCTGCAGAGGTGACGCAAGAAAAATAAACAGAGTGAAAGTATGACACAGTGAGATTCATAGATTTATTTTTTGGAACGGGATGGATCTCGGCCGTTGCTTAGTCACTGGGCAAGTCATCACCTGACCTCTGTTATTATAATACAGTTATATAACAATAACAAGGAGCCTCTGGTTATTTGATCGAGGCCTTCCACTGATATTTTTTAACTCAAGATGTAATGATACACTTTCCATCTAAGATAAAAAAAAAAAAAATTGATCACTATACTGTCCTAAGATTCGTGGAGAGTACTACTCACTTAGTGACAGGTGGAGAGGGAAGGCAGCAGCAGCAGCAGCAGCTTGGCCCCACTTGGAGGTTCAACTTCTTTCCCTCCGTCTTGGCCAGCATGACAGCCTCGCTGCCGAACATCAGCACTGTCAGGTCCGTGAAGTGACTGTTCCGATGGCCATATACCTAATGATAGAGTAGATAAAGGTCTTTATATATATATATATATATATATATATATATATATATATATATATATATATATATATATATATATATATATTATATATATATATAATATATAATATATCCACTGGCTTAATGAAGATTTTACATCCCATATTAAAATGAGGATCACTACTCAAGAGTGTCCTAAAATAACCGTGAAGATTTTCCACATTAAACTTACGACTGTGTTCCGAGTTACATCAGGAAATACGTAATTGCTCCTTCCAAAGTGTACTAATAATATTATTCTCGTAAATCAGTGATTTGCAGCAGCTAACACCCAGAGAAGATTATTGTAACAGCTGTACAAGAAGACCGCTGAAGGGAGGTTCGTTGACGCTGGTGAGGGGTCCTTGATCTAAGGAATTGGATTTGTGCTGCAGTTCCCTGAACTGAGCCTGAATACCTTCCATCCCCCAAGGCGCTGTATAAACCTACGAGCTTAGCGCTCCACATCATAATAATAATGATGTACAAGAGGATATACAATATACACCAAGAGTTGTATATCTGAGTGTAAATACCCCAACACTTTACTCCCTATTTAAGGTATTCAAGCATCCTTGACTGGAAGTATACTGATGACAAGCAGCCTTGATGACTGTCGTGAAGTCGATAGGCTATAACCTAATTCAGATATAAATTACGTGATAACATATTCAGATATAACTTACGTGATTTTAACAGACGTACAGATGTTATGAGCTCTGGGAACCACCGTTTGCGATGACACTCATTAGGGCCATAAACTGCAAAGTAAACAATGGATATGAAAGTGACATGTAGGTACATTTAATTGGAACAGATATTTACTAGAGAGGAGCAGAAATTAATATTACGTGAAATATAATTCTAATCTTTATTAAATGTATCGTTGTATACAAATTGTCCGATGAAAAGCAGGGGTGTCAAGAGTATACTGAGAGACAGCACAGTAAGTGTCCGGGGCCCATGACTGTTCAACTATCTCCCACCATACATGAGGGGAATTACCAATAGACCCTAGACTCCTGGCTGTCTTCAAGAAGGCACTGGACAGACACCTAAAAACAGTACCTGACCAACCGGGCTGTGGTTCGTACGTCAGTTTGCGTGCGGCCGGCAGTAACAGCCTGGTTGATCAGACCCTGATCCACTATGAGGCCTGGTCTCAGACCGAGCCGCGAGGGCGTTGACCTCCGGAACCCTCTCCAGGTAAACTCCAGGTAATATACACGCGTTATGGCTAAGTTCCCTGTTAATTGAGGGTCGTTATGCAATACATCACAAACTAGAGCCAATTTGAAAACTTGTTGCCATTTTCGAATTCAACAACCTCAAAATACCCTAAAAGCTTTCAAATATCTTTGACAAGGATTTTCTTTTGGTTAACGAATGATTAATTCCCTTGTAGCAGATGGTAAACAATGACTAGTTTAAGTGACCATCTTGTAGATGTGTTAGATCAATAAACTATACTAAGACGGTAGTTTATCACAGTAGATGGGTAAAAGCTGTAGTACCTGACAGTAGATTAAGACAGTGAGTATACGCTCTCTGTAGATTATAGCGGGGACGCGGTGGAAGTAGTAGATTAGGGCAGTGCACCAACAGAATGCTTAAACTGACCGGGTAGACAGATGCGATCCAGTATATGTGACGACGAAAGATCCGGTGGGCGTTGAGGAGCGTGAAGAAGGCTTGCTCGAAGAAGAGAATGTAGAGGCCCACGGTGATGAGCCCTCCGATGGCCAGCAGTGCTGTGCCGTATGACCCCAGAGCTGTAGACAGTGAAGCAATCAGTGTCAAGTGAACGAGGGAGAGATTGAGAGAGATGGGTCCAGTGTTAAGTGAACGAGGGAGAGATTGAGAGAGATGGGTCCAGTGTCAAGTTAACTAGAGAGGGACTGATATAGAACAGCCAGTGTCGAGTGAGCTTGTCTACCTAAATAGCATTTTAGTCGGTTAAAGCAGTGGTGATAATAGGACTTACTTAGCAATACTAAAACGTTAGGAGGTAGTTAGGCACTCCTGGCCCAGTAGTTCATGTGTATTAGCTAATTAGGTAAAAATTTGTTAAAAGATTTGATGCAGGCCGCACTTAGCAGTCAAACGAGTCACATGTTGAACAGCATAAAACTCAACCTTTTAGTGTTATAAGATATCACTGTGAGAGATCAATTTACAGATTCATGATGATGATTTCGAAGGATGATTCTGATCGCTTTCAAAGTCTATATTTATGGATTTAAGCTGAAAACGTTCAATAGACAGTACGCTGCTATCACGACTTACCCTGATGGTACTCCTCTGCGGTTGGAACATAAGATTTGTTGCAGTCAGTCTGAGAAAATAGATTTTGTATCTGGTCCATAGTCAAATACTATCGACAATCACTGGAAAGTGAAAAATACAAAATTAAATGCCTTAAAACATAAAGATATATACAAAATGTTTTTTCAACCACAACCCACATATTGACAGCTTTACATTACGGGAGGATCTATGGGGATAATTCAATACTTTTCTCAGTTGACTTAAATATAGCAACCTCAGCACAATAGCCTGAGCTTGCTACCATCTGCAGCTCATAAGACTGCCATCCCCACGAGCCCTTTGAGGCGGGGTAGATGGCAGACCAGAGGCCTAGCTTCTCCCTACGAGCCCCGTGAGGGCGGGGAATGTGGCTAGGCCTGGGGACACTTGGTCCCAAAGATGAGGAGGTACTGTACCTCCTCCCATGGGAGACTTAAGTCTCGAGACACTCCCCAGATAGGGAGCCAAGGCCGGGTCACCACTACTTGGAAAAGACCCAGGCCGGGAGAATACCGGCGAATAAAAAAAAAATCAGCACAATATAAACCGAGATAGACTGTACACCGTTTACGTTCTGTTTCATTTTCTCCAGCAGGTGGGTACCCTGGAGAAAATGAAACACTCTTGCATTGTACAGCAAGAATTGATTTTGATTCACAGAAATACATACATGCATACACACACGCACACACGAACAATTGGTGTTTAATCAATAACAACACTGCGACTAGCCAGGGGATCGAACCCGTGTTGTTTTAGCCCTCCTCATGGTGAGCGAAAATTCACGACGCTCTAACCCACTGGACAGCTACTTATTAGAATAAAGGGATCAACTGGTACCAAGTTTAGCGTACGTCAGGTCCCCTGTCTTCTAATAATATGTTATTTTTCCCTTATAATCTACCTTGTCCATAATCACTATCACATTTGATTTGTCTGCTTGCGGAAGGTGAAGTCTAGGATCTTCCTTTAATTCATGGTATAACTTAACAAATCTTTGTTAACACAAGGGCCATCTCTCACCAATGCATGATAACCTTCTGTTATATGTAAGAATTTCCTCTGCTTTTCATATGCATTCTGTCGTCCATAATCTGAGAAAAGCAATATCTTCAGTGAAACCTTTATTACCCTGTTTCATCTTGTACCGGACTTTATGACAGTCATTCACTCAGTCATACGCAGGTAAGAACCTACGTTAGGTGCGAGGGAGGTGGGGATAGTGAAAGAATAGTGCGGTAGAAGACAGGGTGAAGAGGCCGGAGCTTGACCTAGCAGCAAAGCTTGAAGTATACAAAAACACTGATGCACGGAATTTTTATATCTTGTGGCCTGATGGAAGTGTTATACCCTTCCAATAAATATTCTGTATTACACAAAGATACTTTTTATACGCCCCAAAAAGGGGTTTGTGCCATTTTCCCTTTTTATATCCCCCTTTTTCCCCCCTCCCACCCTCTTTCAATATTTCTATCCTTACCATTTTTCTTCCATCCCCTTTTCTTACCAAAGCCTGGTCGTAATTTTAAGGTCAAACGATGAGGGAAAAGGCAAAAAAGTACCCAGCCCTCGGGAGAAATCACAAGTGAGCTAATCAAACAATATGAAAATAGGATTATTTTAAGAGTCGTGTGCGGGGAAGGGATACCACAGGGCCCGGGCCGAAAGAAATTTTTAATTTTATATAAACTATCAAAAATATGGGAAATAGGACCCGCCAGGTGTCCCCAATCCCTTTTTTTCGATAGGCATAAACATGAGTCTGTTTTGATCCTCCTCACATACGCTCGCGCTTTTCGTACATGAGGTGAATACAGACTGCTGAAACGATCATGCATTGCATTCTTGAAAAAAGCTAATGAAATAAAAACCCAAAAAAGGGAAGGACTGAATTCCCTAACTTCCACTTTTTCTAGTAAGAAATCTCCGTATTTAATCGTAAAGCCACCGACGACGAAACGCCTTATAATAATGAAATCCAAGTGCTGCATACATCTTTTTTTATCAACATGTCCCAGTATACAAAAAAAAATGTAAAAATTGCAAAATGTCAAATTACGTACCTTGGATCAGGATTTAACCGAAAACAAGGAGGTCTACTCGACTTATCATGATCACGACATAACAAAGCCCACTTTTCGCAACCCCCCCCTGAGCAACTGAGAGAAGGGTAAAGGGAAATGACCCTCTTCGAAACGAGCACAGAACAGATAATTTTGTTAACCAAACTCAACAGATTTTGTCAAATATTGCTTTCTTGTGGTCCTCCCCGTACAATCACTTCCATTTTTTTCTTCCATTGTTTTTTCAAATTACTTTCAGGATTTAGACATTTATCTTTATTTAGGAAATTAAAAATCTTCGTAACTTAGTTAATTCTTTGTCGGGCCCCAACAAATTTTTTTTTATATTTACTTTTATTAAAACCCGGGTCCATGACCGGGACCTAAAGGGAAAATCCCTTAAAAATCACATTGTTAATTGCATTTTTTAAAATTTTTTTACTAATTTTTGGTACGTGCTGGGCAGAGAACTAGGATGACTGATACTATATTTTGTTAGGGAAAGATAAACAAATATATTTTTTTTTGGGAAAATTTTTGGAGTTTAAAGTATTATTAAAGCTTGGGAACTCGCATTCCAAAACAGTTTTTTTTTTTTTTTTAAATTATTAAAGATTACCCGGGTATTCCCCCGGGCCCCGGGCCTTTCCAAAGGGGGCCCCCGCCTTGGGCCCCCTCTTTGGGGAGTGTCTGAGACTAAGTCCCCAGGGAGGGGGCCCCACAAGTACCTCCTCATCTTTGGACCAACTGTCCCAGCCTAGCCACAAGCTGGCCCTTGGGCTGTCTCCCCGCCCCAAGGGGGCAAAGGGAAGACTCTTTGAGCAAAGGTCGGGCTCAGGCACCACCCAACCCCAGAAGGGTTTTGGCATGGGGCGATAGAGAGTTTGAAAAAAAAGCCCTATTCTTCCCCCCCCCCAATTGGGGGGTTTCTTTTAAAAAACAATAATTATAGGACCAAAAATTTTAAATTAACCAAAGAGGAGGGTTTAACAACCCAAAAAAAATTTTAACAAAATACCCCACCCATATAATTTTTTTTATATTTTAAAAATAAAATTTTTTTTTTTAAATTTTTTTTTTATAAAAATTATATAAAGTTTTTTTTAAAAAAAAAAAAAAATTTTTAAAAAAATATATTATTTTATATATATATATAGAAAAAAAAAAAAAAACCAAAATTTCCCCTAGAAAGACTGGGGAACCCCCATCCTCAGGAAGGAAAAACCTTTCACAAAAAACCCCCCTACAAAGACAAGATGGACTTTGTAAATGGTCAAGTCGACCGAAAAGCGTCGTAAGCTCCTCTCTTCTGTGTGCGGGTTTTTTGATATCGTTCCGGTCACGGGATTTTACCTTTTTTTTATTTAGAAAAACTTACTTCAGGGAGAACAAAAAATTTTACCCGAGCTGTTTTAATATTTTCGTACGTCCCTCCCCCTTATTTGTGGGAAACTTTATTTTTTAAAAAAAATTAACGAAATACACGGGAAGAAAAATAAAAAAAATACATTCAAAGTCTAACTAAATACTTCATCCACTCCTTGGCGGTGGCCGCATGTCAAAAATGCGAGGGATTTACCCCATGGGTCGCAACACTGAGCCTTGTTTTATGAGAGATTTTTAAAAAAACTCTTCCCGGAATTTTTAAAACAACTTTTCCCATCCAAGGGTCTCCGACCTTATTTGGGACGAAATTATAGGAAGGTGACATTTCCTCTGTATTTGGCGGGTTTCCCTCCCCTCAGCTTAGAAATGGAAAGTGGTGTCAGCCCCGAGAGGCCGGTGTCTTATGCAATTTGCTCACCACCTTCAGGGTAGCATGGTGTCTCCATCTTTTAAGTACAACCCCAACCCCAAAAAATATATTTAAAAATAATTTAAAAAATTTTTAAAATATATATATATATATATATATAAATATATATATATATTATATTATATATAAATTAAAATATAAAAAATTTTTTATATAATAAATGGGGGAAATACAGTGCCCGCACTTGAAGGGGGGGTGTTAAAGTTCATTTAAAAAAATGTAGTGTAAAGAACCCCCTGGAAAAAACAGTGATGGAGTGAATGATGGTGAGAGTTTTTTTTTTTTCGGGGCCCCCCGCCTTTGGGGGGAATGGCCAGTGTGAAAATAAATTATATATAAATAAATATAAAAAAAAAATATATATATAAATATATAAAAAATATTATAATATATAATATATTAAAAAATTTTATTAATATAATTATATATTATATATATATTTTATAATAT